TCAGTTGGCCAGGTAGCTGTCTTCCAAAATTCTTGGCATAGATGAGTGAGCACTGCCAGTGCTGCATCCGTTTGTTGAAACATCTCAATTGATATTCCATCAATTCCTGGAGCCCTGTTTTTCACCAACGCCTTCAAGTTAGCTTGGACTTCTTCCTTCACTACCATTGGTTCCTGATCATATGCTATCTCCTGAAACGGTTGTGTGTCGACCAATTCTTTTTGATATAGTGACTCTGTGTATTCCTTCCATCTTCTTTTGATGCTTCGTATGTCGTTTAATATTTTCCGTGTAGAATCCTTCACCATTGCAACTCGAGGCTTGAACTTTTTCTTCAGTGAGAGAATAAATTTCTCTTTGTTAAAGCCAGCCACCTGTGGTATTTCTGTTATAGCAGCACTAGATAACTAAGACAGCCATCTTCACAACTGGTGCTATATTTGAGTCCATTTTTGCAGCCACCATGTCACTCCATCTCATTGAGGGTCTTCCTCTTTTTCAGTGACCCTCTATTTTACCAAGCATGATGTCCTTCTCCAGACACTGGCGCCTCCTGATAACATGTTGAAAGTACATGAGATGAAGTCTTGCCTCCTTGCTTCTAAGGAGCATTCTGGCTGTACTTCTTCCAAATTAAATTTTTTTGTTCTCCTGGCAATCCACGGTATATTCAATATTGTTCATCAACACCATAATTGATAACGATAAATGCTCTGGTAAAATTAATAATAGAATATGCTTGAGAGCGACAGTCTGGGAAATGTTGAGGAACTTTGGGTAGCTGGAAAAAAATCTCTCTGAGAAAGTGACATTTAAGCTGAAATTGACAAGAAGGAACAATCAAAGATGCATGGAAAGAGATTCCAGGTAGAAGGCACAGTTAGCTTAAAGTATGGGAAAATTTTCAGGTGTAGAAAGAAAATTGTCATGTTACAGTTACTGAGTCATTGGAATTTTCAAATTTATTATTATAGTTGTATCTTGTAATATTAACTTTCTCTATTTCTATGGTTTTTTTCTTTCTTCTTCTTAATAACGCTTATTTATTTCTTATCCTTTTTTCCCAAGATTTATCTATTATATCACGCAGTTTTAAAAAATCAAAACAAAACTTACAGATATTCTATTCTACTTATTTAATCTGTATGCTGAGCAAATAATCCAAGAAGCTGGACTATATGAAGAAGAAAGAAAGTGGCATCAGGATCAGAGAAAGACTCATTAACAAACTGCGATATGCAGATGACACAACCCTGCTTACCGAAAGTGTAGAGGGCTTGAAGCACTTCCTGATGAAGATCAAAGACTACAGCCTTCAGTAAGGATTACATCTCAACATAAAAAACAAAAATCCTCACAACTGGACCAATAAGCAACATCATTACCACTAGAAAAAATATTGAAATTGTGAAGGATTTCACTTTACTCGGCTCCACAATCAATGCCCATGGAAGCAGTAGTCAGGAAATCAAATGATTTATTGCATCAGGTAAATCTTCTGAAAAAGACCTCTTTAAAGTGTTAAAAAGCAAAGATGTCACTTTGAGGACTAAGGTGTACCCAATCCAAGCCATGATATTTTTAATCGCCTTATATGCATGTGAAAGCTGGACAATGAATAAGGAAGACCGAAGAATTGATGCCTTTGAATTATGGTGTTGGAGAAGAATATTGGATATATCATGGGCTGCCAGAAGAATGAACAAACCTGTCTTAGAAGAAGTACAGCTAGAATGCTCCTTCAAAGTGAGGACAGTGAGAATTTTTCTTGCTTATTTTGGACATGTTATCAGGAGGGACCAATCTGTAGAGAAGGCATCATGCTTGGTAAAGTAGACAGTCAGTGAAAAAAACGAAGATCCTCACAAGAGAGGATTGACACAGTGGCTCCAACAATGGGCTCAAACATACCTCCTGTGGTCGTTAAGGTTGTGTGTCAGCTTGGCTGGGCCATAATTCTCAGTGGTTTGGCAGTTATGATGTAGTTTGGCAGTTGTATAATGATGTGATCACCTCCATGATGAGATTTGATATAATGTGATCACCTCCATGATGGGATCTGGTCTGAGGAGCCAATCAGTTGGAAGGGAGTTTCCTTGAGGGTGCAGTCTGCATCCAATATAGGTGAACTTTCTGGCAAGGCTCTCGGGCTTTTCCTTGCTCTAGATCCTGCAGCTGACTCCTTTCATCTGATCTCTAGTTCTTGGGACTTGAGCTAGCAGTTTACCTGTCATCTTGCCTGCTGATCTTGGGATTCATCAGTTTTTGAATCCTGTGAGACATAGTCCTGCTGTTTGACCTGCCTATCTTGGGTTCGCCAGCCCCTGTGGCTATGTAAATCAGGAGAAGCCTCTAGCCTGACCATGGACTTGGGACATTCCGGCCTCTACAACCTCGTGAGCCATTTTCTTGATATAAATCTCTCTCTCCATATATTTATATGCTTTACTGGTTTTGCTTCTCTAGAGAACCCAGCCTAAGACACCTCCTATTGTGAGGATAGCACAGGACTGTGCAATGTTTGTTCTGTTATACATAGGGTGGCTATGAGCTGAAACCAACTTGAAAGCAACTAACAACGACAACATTCAACTTTGATTTTTATGTTTAGGATTTTGTTTATCTAATCTTGCTTCTTTATTTGATTCTTGTTTGCTTTCTTTTTTTTTTTTTTTTACACTGTACAACCTCTTAAAACTATTAAATTGTCTCTGTGGCAAGTTCTGCCTATACTAAAAAAAAAAGAAAAAAAAAGTTGCTAACATGTTGTTGTGTTCTTGTTATTCTTGTCTTAAAATAGTCTGTAATTAAAATGTTTATTTTTGGCCTAAGATTAATTCAGAGAATTTACTTCAAACTTAAAAGTGACAGTGGATTTTGTTCTATTTAATACTTTGTTATTAATTTCTAGTTTAATTACATCATACTCAGGAAATCTGGCCTGATAAACTTCTGATTTGGAGAATTTATTAAAGTATTCTTCATAGTCTAAGCACATGACTTTATTATTTTTTTCCTTTTGGTAATTATTACATGGGAACCAAAAAACAATGTATATCTTTCTCTTGTGGAGATAAAGTTTATTGTATAAATATTATCCAATTTTAAAATACCATTCAATTTCTCCTTGTCATTACTTTTTTATCTACTTACTCTATCGCAGGCCAATAAAACAGTTTATTTTCTCACACATTTTGCCTTATATTTCTAGCAGTTTAGCAGGAATGAGAAAGTAGAAAAGTCAGAAATATGAAACTTTGTAGCTAAAGAGTATAAGATTATTTGTAGCCAGAGCTAGGAATTACTGCATGTAACAGGAAGTTTCTTGTTGCAATCATCCCATGTAACCGGATGTTTCTTGTTGCTAATACATGAAAAACTAACTTAATCTAGTTTGAACAATATAATTTTATGAGCTCACATAGTTGAGATATATAGAGAAAAGGTAGCCTTTAACTGTGCTTCAGTGAGGTCTC